ATTAATATTATAAAAAATACTCTTAAAAATCCAAATCTTAATTTAATACTAATTTTTGCCCCCCTCCCCAATTGATTTTTCTGGCTCCGTCCCTGGTGGGAGCAACAAGAAGTACCCAACAATAATTGCTTGGAGGCTAGGGACTTGAGCTTAACTTAACAATAACTTCTTCGTCTTCCTTCCATTTTTTTTTTTAAAGGGGGACGACTCCCGTAGACTGCGTTTTCGTTTCGTTTCTCATTGGATTAAATTATTATTTTGGTTTCTCAGCTTCAAGTTTTAGATTAAGTTGATCCTTAAACTTCAAAAATTACCAAATTCATCCTCAAACTTTAATTTTCTATTAACAACTTGGTCCTTCCATTAGTTAAATGCTGACATGGATGGTTAAGTGATTTTGTAATAGAAAATTTTAAACTTAAAGTATTACATGAGAATTTTGAATTCATTTTATTATTGAGAAGACGGATATTTTTTTTTCCATGTATGACTTTTCTTTATAAAGTTTGATAGTAATTAGTTAATACTAATGCTAATTATTATTTTATCCACTCACTTCAAAATTATGAGTCTACTAAAGCTACTTCAATTATTGTCTTACCTTAATTATCTTTTTAATGTATAATTATTATAACTTTTTTAATAAATTAAATTAAATACAATGAAACTCATACTTAATTAATCATTCACCTCTCTTTCTTCTCCAACAGATCCTTCTCTCTTCTCTTTGTCTCTCACATTATCGCAATGAAAATGACTTTAATCACCCAAAAAACAAACATAAAATTAGTCTGATTTTAATTGTACTAAAGAAAGTAATCCTAAACTTATAATGAAAATGACTTTAATCACCCCTCTCTTAGAAAACGCAATAACTGCCATCGGAGACTCTGGTAAACTTCCTCTGAAAAGGCCTTTACTTAACGAAATATCTCTCTATTTCCTCAATGCTCAAAATCTCTCCTAGATTTTTCGTTCGATTCCCGACAACTTCTGTGTGCCTCATCACTGTTCCTCAACTCAACCGCAGAAATCAAGGTCGGTCGTCGTAAATGAGCGCAAGGAAACGATCTGGACTTTGATTGAGGCCTTCTTTTCAAATTTTCTGGAGGAAAGAAAGCTAGCTTTTAGTCTCTTTTTAATCCATTTTCTCGGTAACCAAACTTAAGACATCTTTTGATTGAGTTTTAATATGCATGAAGTTGAGTTACTTTTCTTTTAGTTATAGATTTTTTTTTATCAGCAAACAAAAATAAATATATCATTTGAGGGAGTACAAGGGTTACTCCAACCCATATACAAAGATAAATCCTATTCTTGGCATTAACAGACCAAACCCATCACCCCAAAATAAGAAAGATGACCGGGACAGTAACACATGAATGCCTACATGCAGAACTCAAAGTAAACGATGATGCAGCTTTTGGAAACTCTTCAACATCTTCTTATACCGATTAACAGCTATGGCACACTCAATTGGGTTCATCTGCCACTCATACAAAGAAAAAGCACAACCATGCACCTTATTTTTAATCCAAAAAAAAGACTTCATTTGTACCTTATCCAACAAACACTCCTGCATACTCTCATAATTCTTAAATACACAAGCATTCCTCCAATACCAAAGATACCATGCAACAACAAGAAAAACACATGCACCCAACTCCTTCCCTATAATTCTACCCAAATCAAAGAAGAAAAATTATGCCACTCCCCTGACGGTATTCAACATGACAGTTTCAATGCGCCACCAATTCCGCACCTTAACCCAAACTAACCAAGCTTCCCTGTAAGTACAAAATAGATGATCAACCTCCTCCACCACCTCATGACACAAACCACAAAAAGAACCCTCTTGCTACACCAACACACCCCGTTTTTATAAGTTCCATTTTGTTGGCAGCCAATCAAGACATAACCTCCACCCAAAAAAGCTAACTTTCAAAGGCACAAGCCTGCACCAAATAAACCTACACAATTGGGAATCTAGATGACACTCCTCAGGAGATAAAAATTCATAAGCTGTCCTCACCAAATATTTACCTCCTCGATCATGTACCTAAGTCCAAACATCCTCCCTGCCTTTCTTTAATTGTACACAATCCACAACCCCCCACAAAACCTCCTCTTCATCCTTTTCACGCCCCATTCTCCCCCTTCTCCACACCATATTCCACTGCCACCTATCCCCTTCCCATTGCCCCATATCACTAACCGAGCCTTCCTTATTCACAGCCAAGGCATACAATCTGGGACATAAATCCCTTAAGGATTTATCTCCCACCCATTTCTCCCTCCAAAACCCCACCCTACTACCACACCCCACCTCCCATCTAAACCCATTCCCCAACATATTCCTCAGCCTAATTGATTTCCCCCCAATACTGATAATATCTTTCCACAATTTTGACACTCTTAAATTATCAATTGCTGTTAAATCCACCTCCCAATGACCCTCATAATATTTGTCCCTTACTACCCGCTTCCACAAACTCCCCACACCATCAGCAAACCAAAACCACCACTTCCCCAATAATGCCCAATTTTTCCTTCGCAAATCCGACACCCCTAAACCTCCATGCGCCTTATTACCACAAACAATATCCCACTTAACCCATGGAATTTTCCTATTCAAACCAGCCCCACCCCACAGAAACCCCCTTTGGATAGAGACCAATTCAGAAACCACAGAACTAGGTAATAAAACTAGAGACATGTAAAAAATGGGTAAAGTAGAGAGTACCGAATTAAGCAAAGTGATGCGGCCGCCAAAAGACAACGAAGCAGACTTCCAGACGGCAAGTTTGGCACGAAACTTATTTACCATTGGTTCCCACTGTTTTTTGCTCCAAGATTTACCACCAACAGGGAGACCCAAATACATGAAAGGTGTTTTCCCAACACCACACCATAAAGAACAAGCCATCCCATTCAACCACCTTGTCGATACATTATAGCCATAGACACTACTTTTACCAAAATTAATCTGCAACCCCGACATCAACTCAAACCATCGTAACACTGTTTTAACCATAAAGACATTCTCCCCATCAGCTTTACCCAGAATCACTGTATCGTCGGCAAACTGTAGCAAAGATACAACCAAACCCCTCTTCCTAACTTCCACACCCTTAAACAACCCCTCCGACTCAGATTTTCGAAGTAACTCATGTAAACCCTCACCAACCATCAAAAACAGAAAAGGAGACAAAGGGTCACCATACCGTAATCCTTTTCCAATCTCAAACTCCTTAGTCGAACTGCCATTAACTAAGACTGACACCCTTGCGGTTGATAAGCACTCCATAATCCATCCTCTCCACTTAGACCCAAACCCAAACCTTTCCATCATCCAATCCAAAAATGCCCAATCAACACAATCATATGCTTTCGCAAAATCAGCTTTGAAAACAAAGCCTTTTGTTTACTCTTCTTAATTTCATCAACAACTTCATGTAAAGCTAACACACTATCCGCCAGTTGACGACCCCCCAAAAATGCAGATTGAGTCTCGCTAATAAACTCCGACATCACAAGCTTAAGTCTATTAGCTAACTCCTTAGCCAATAACTTATATACACACCCAATTAGACTAATAGGACGAGAATCCTTCAATTCTGTAGGGTTATGCTTCTTAGGGATCAGAGTCAAAAGGAAGAGTTTAAACCTCTTACTAACCTACCATTCCGATGAAATTCATTGAAGAAACTCACGAAGTCCTCCTTTACAACGCTCTAGACAAACTTGAGGAAGTTGAAATTATAACCATCCGGACCATGTGCTTTAGTCCCTTCACAACATCTTAACCCATCTTCAATCTCTTCCGTTGAGAATGGTCTCTCCAACCACTCTTTTTTCTCCGCAGATATTTGCCGAAAACTTACACCAGCTAGCTTGGGTCTGTTCCATACTTCACCTTGAAACAAAGTAGAGAAATATTTGGCTACTTCCCTCTTAACCATTTTAGGCTCCTCCACCAATCTACCGTCACACGAGAGCCCTAGTATATTGTTCTAAGCCCTCCTGCCATTAGCAATCTTGTGAAAGAATCTGGTGTTCACATCTCCCAACCACGCCCAATTACATCTCGATTTTTGCCTCAATATAACTTCCTTCTTGCGTAAAACATCCCATATTTCTTGAACTCCTTCTTGTCGTTGGCTCACCTTAAACTCCTCCAGCTCAAAATCTTCATTCCTCCTGTCAATCTTTTCTACCTTTGCTGATGCCTTTTCAAGTTGAGCCTCCACATCCCCGAACACATCCCTATTCCATCCTTTCAAAAATTCCTTCAACAACTTTAACTTTTGTTTACAACGATAGCCGGCATAACCTTCAACCTCCATCCTTCGCCACTTGCCTTCTACTGCCTTTTTAAAATCTGGATGCTACTGCCAAGCATCTAAAACTCTAAATGGCTTTGGACCCCAATTTGCATTACTTGATTTCAAGATAACAGCACAGTGATCGGAAACAGTCCGTTTCAACCCCTGCTGCACCCACTCGCACCCCAAACTATACATCTCCTCTGTCATCAGAAATCTATCCAACCGACTCATAGAAGAACCATCCGGTCGGTACCATGTAAAACGTCTATTCGCCAATCTGATATCAACCAATCCTGATGACTCGATAAAGACATTAAACTCCTCCATCTCTGGGCATTCTCCAGTTCTTCCTCTCCTTTCTTCAGGACATCTAACAGCATTAAAATCCCCTGCTATCATCCAGCACCCTCCCTTTTTCCATAACCATATTACCCAACTCATCCCATAGCCTCACTTTTTTATGCCTATCTTGTGGAGCATACACATTCACAAAATGGCATAACACCTTTTCTGGACCCCAAACCCCATCAATACCCAGAAAACCATCTCCAACAAACTCCCTTAGCTTAACAAAACTAACATTATTCCAAACACACATCAAAGCCCCTGAAGCACCAATTGACTCCTTCATAACCCAGTCACAATCATCTGAATACCACAACCCCCTACACACGCTCCCATCCACTTCCTGCATTTTAGTCTCTTGCAAGAACAAAAAGTCTAGCCTCTCTTTTCTTACCACTTTTCCTACCTCCTTCCTTTTCATCGAACCCCCCAATCCTCTAACATTAAAGGACAAGCACTTCATATATGTGAATAAAAGCACGCATACACCCGCGCACCCCTTGCAAACATCAAGCTTCGTCCCTACCCTACACCTGCTCAACCATCGGTTCCTCTAACTGTAATAATCTGGACTAAACCTCTTCTTCATTCCCTAGAATCTAAACACCCAGCCTTTTCCCCACACTAATCATCTTTCTAACCTCTAGTAAATTCATTTCCCTCTAAATCACCCTATTTCTATTAGCTATGCACCCATCCGAAAGCGAAATACTTTCACCTACCTTCATCGGTGCCTCCTGTTGAGCCTGCTTCCATCTGTGTTGTCTCTGCTTGGTCCTCGCCGTGACCCATTGAGTGCTCTTGTCACCGATTTCTGCCTCATTTTGCGGATAACACTCCAAAAGATGCTTCCTCCTTTTTCCCGTCGCTCCCCTATTTTCCAGATTTAGAACAGGGGTCAAGACATGCTCATGCTCTGCTGCAAGCCTTATGGCATTATCGACCCTAGTCCTCTTTGGAGACAAATTTGCATCGGGCCCATAGGCCTCATCAAGCCTAGGCCGCTTATTCACTAGCTCGTTACATTCAATAGGCCCACTATGCCCATCTGCAATATCATCCGTTTCAGATAACATACATTCACTGCCTTCCGTTACAAAGATTCTGTTTGAATTTGAATCAGCTTCCTTCTCCAGCATTTCTTCATAAAAAATATCCTCATTCCCTCCACTTTTTGCGACATGAATCAAGTCAACATCCTCACTACCGTTAGGCAGTATTGAACATTTCGAATCAGTTTCCAAATCGCATTGCCTATCGCCGTCCGACAGCCACCAATCGGGATCGAAGCGCCATTCTTCCTCTATCAACCCTACTTCATACACCTGGTTCTCCACTTTCAGGTTTACAATTCGGATGATCTTACCCTTTTCAGAGCAAAGGATTAACACCCTACCATCACCCAAGATAATTTTATTTGAAGTATCTTCATGAATCCAAACCACTTCTCCCATTAACTCGCCTAACATTTGGAAGCATCTATCGCACCATGCATTGAGCGGGATTCTAGAAATACGTAGCCACACCAGTCTACAACTTGCTGGACTTGCTAATGTCCATGGTTGTACCGAATCGAACCATAAATCAATCAAGTCTTTATTGTGCTGTGTATAATCAGCCAAGCACCTTGCCACTTGTTCTGTTAATAGCACCCTTTTTCCTTCCAATGGTAATAACGTAATCGCTCCTCCATCCACGTCTAATCGAGCTTGAATGTTAGAAATCAATGATACTGATTTCACCTCAGCAACCATACTTCCTTCAAGCCATTTGGTCTCCTCCTTCATTGGTGCAAACTCAATAGCCTTTTCCTTAGACTGCCCAGAAATGTTCTCCACCATCCCGTGCCTTACAGCATTCTTTACAGGGGATTCAACTGCCTCGTTCTCCACACTTTGCCCTACTTTCTCCTGCAATGCCCCTGCGCTACTAGGAGTCTCCCTGATCTGTGGATGACTCCTTACCACTGCCTGCACATATGAATGCCCCGGTTGAACTAGTCTATCCATTCTATGTTCCTGTTTCCTTTCCTCTAAAACCCTCAGTGCCCTTCTAACCCTTGAGATCTGCCTCCTCCTAGCCTCTACAACTTTAACCCGAACCTTATATGACCCAATCCAGATATCATTAAGCTTCCTCACCATTTCCTGTTCAGACTGCACTCCGGTCATACGTACAAACCCATACCGTTTCCCCCACTTATCTCTTCTCCCAGGCACATAGACATCCACCATGCGTCCATACCTCTGGAAGTGATACCATAAATCCTTTGCGCAACATGTCTCTGGAAAATTGTAGAAGAAAAATGCCTTCCCTGGAACCAGATTATCGAACCCATCCTTAACCTCCCTCCGCCTGTAAGTCTGTCGCCGTCTGGAATCGCTGTCATCTCTGGCCGCCGCACCTCTCACTCGTGCCCTCTCCATTATATCATATTCTTTTAGTTATAGATATTATGAAATTATGAAGATACGGTCAAAGGTTTAACTTCGATGGATTATCTTCATGATATGATCATTTCTAGTTTAAGTTTTCAAAATTAAGACAAAAAAAAAAGAAGAAGAAGGTTCTAAATTCCTATTTAATTTTTAAAATGATATATTTATAGTATTACATGATAGTTTATAGGATAATGCTGTGTGCACCCTCCGGTTCAACACCCGGGGGTGCACACCCTTAATAACCAAACAACTTTAATAACAAAATTACATATTTAACCTTAAAGTCATTTTCCTCTCAATGCCCCTTTTTCTTCTTTTCTCTCCATCTTCCTCTGCCGAATTCTTCTCCTTCCCAAGATCTGCTTCACCCTTTTATATATATATATATATATATTTTTTGGGCTGCTTGGCGATGACGATGATGATGGTGGTGATGGTGACGATGGTGATGGAAAACAGAGGGATCTATGGTTCTGCCCCTCTCCTTCTATTTTGGTGGTGATTGAGGATGGTGATGGAGGTGGAGGTTGTGATGATGATGAGATGCAAGGAGATGGTCTCTGGGTTCTCCAGAGAGAGAGAAAGAAAAAAAAAAGGGGCCTGGGTTCTGGGTTCTGGGTTCTCCAGGAGAACCCAGATCGGGTTCTCCGAGACTGGGTTCTTCCCGGAAAACCCATCTAGGTTCTCCAATGGGTTCTCGAGAGAACCCAGACCTGGGTTCTCTCGAGAACCCGAACGAACAAAAAAAAAAAGAGAAAAAAGGAAAGGTTGGGTTCTCCTGGAGAACCCATGGAGAGCCCAGACCTGGGTTCTTCTCGGAGAACCCAGATGGGTCTTCGATGGGTTCTCTTGAGAACCCGGACGAAAAAAAGAAAAAACAAAAAAGAGAGAGAGGATAAATTTGTAATTTTACATTTAAAATTGTTTGGTTAAGAGGAGTGTGCACCCCAGGTGTTGAACCGGGGTGTACACTAATCATGATCCTAGTTTATAACATGATGTGTTTATTGATTTTTTTTATTTGGCAAACTTATTTAATTGTATATCATAATTGTTTGCATATAATCTAATTAAACAAAACTGATTATGGAAAATTGAACTTTGGCAGGGCTTGATTGGTATACATAAGTGGTTGAAGCTATGAATATCAGGGGAAATAAATTTGTGAGGTTAGCCTCTTTAAGCATTAATTTTAAGTTCTATTTAATTGCGCTGAAGTTTGAATACTAAACTTTTATCTTTTTTGGCTTAAATTTTCATTTGCCAACTTCTAATGATCGCATCAGTTGTGAAATTAAATGTTTTGCTCTCTGGAATTCTTTTGTTTCACCTAGGTTTGAATCAGATAAATCTTTAACTGAGCGTTATGCTGATGCAATTTTTCCAAGGAAAGTTAGAAACTCACTGGCTTCTGTCATGGAAAGTGTCCGGAGAGGGGTTGAGATGGGTTCTCAAAGGATCAAAAGCTTCAGAAAACCTATGAACTCACAGTCTCCCCGGAACAAGTCAGAAAAAGATTCAGGTTTTTGGAAGAAAATTCTTGATCCAAGGGATCTTTCCTTGAAAACTGGAATAAAATATTTCTCCTAGCCTGTATAATTGCTTTGGCACTGGACCCTCTTTTCTTCTACATCCCAGTGGTTGTGAATGACGAAACCCAAAAATGCCTTGACCTGAATAAAAAACTGGCAATCATTGCCTCTGTCCTTCGTACATTCATGGATGCCTTCTATATAATTCACATGATCTTTCAATTCCGAACTGGGTTCATTGCCGCTCCTTCTAGAGTCTTTGGTAGGGGTGAGTTGATTGTTGATCCTTGGGCCATTGCAAAGAGATACTTGTTCACATACTTCATCATCGACGTCCTGTCAATTCTTCCGCTTCCACAGGTTTGTTGCTTCTCTGAAGCAAGTTCCAATTAAGTTCTTCAAGATCATCAAGGAAAAGATTGCAACTTAACAATTCCTGTTACTTTGTGTTCTCTCTCAGCTTGTAACTTTGCATGTCATCCCTTTATTTAAAGACCGGGGGGTTACATTAGTAACGAAGGAGTTGTTGAAATACACTATTATCTGTCAATATGTTCCGAGAATTCTTCGAATTGTTCCCCTTTATATAGAAGTTACGCGAACTTCAGGCATTATCACTGAAACTGCTTGGGCTGGAGCTGCCCTGAATCTATTCCTCTACATGCTAGCCAGCCATGTAAGTGTGTGTGTGTTTATTATTTTTTTTTTCAAAGGGATAGTTTGGATTTCCTTACACTTAAATGTACCGTTCAATTCCAGGTTCTTGGGGCCATCTGGTACATGATTTCAGTAGAAAGATGTAAGGGTAAAGAAAGATGTCTATGGCCCGTGCCCTCGGAATAGGAAGATTTGACTACGACTTCAGTTTTTTCGATCTTCCCTTTTTTTTGCACAGCAGACTTCATACCATTCTTTTTTTTGCACAGCAGCCTTCATACCATTCTTTTTTCCGAGTCTTTCCTTGTTTTTAAATTTCATTGGAAACTTCCCACCAACTCCCCCAAGTTGGCAAAGGAAATACTAGTAAATGCTATCTCCTAAGTCCCTACTTGTTATATTCTTCTTTTACTTTTCCGAGGGAAAATGATAATTAATTTTGATTAATAATATTATTACGATATTTTATTAGACTTTGGTTGATCCAATTACGAATGGCAAGCAGCGGGCATGAACATGACACATATTCTTAATGCATATCTAATGGTCTGTTCCGGCAACAACTGGCAATCCTTTTATCTGTACCATGTCTTGCATGAATTAAATTATTACCCTGTCATGGCCAAAAAAATAAAAAAAAAAGGGGGGAAATAACACTTTTGATGTAATTTTTTATTTCGGTTTGATCAGTTATAATGATTATGAGTGAATTTTTATGCATTTTAAAATTAATTTTTTTAAATATTAATTTTAAGACTTAAATCATGTACTTATTATATAATATGATACTTATTTATTATTAAATTTAACACATGAATTATTAGTGTTTAATTCATATTGTTTGGTTACCAAGAAAAGAATTAAGAACAAACTTAGAGTTTGTTTGGTTTGCCACTTTTTCAGAAAAAAAAAAAAAATCACGATAGTCGATTAAAAATTCAATTGGCTTGGCTTAGGATTTAACTTTCATTGCAAGTAGATTGATATATAATATAATTGATTGTAGAAGGAAATATAATGCATTATAACTACGTTATCTAAAAAGTTTTAACACGTAAATTAAGGTATAATATTATTTTTTTTCGTTAAAAAAAGAAATGCATTATAATCATATCTTTTTTAAAAGTTCTTTTTTTAAGAAAGTGGATATAACTAATTATAAAAAAATAAATTATATTAATATAATTACTTATTTTTTAAAATAATTAATTTTATTGTAAATATATGGTGCGCTTAAAATTGTTATGAAGTATTGTGATTTTGTTTAACTGTGATTGTACTGTATTGTAATTATGGTTGAAAGTTATTTTGGT